TTACAATACTTTCCCCTTTCACACTATGTGTGTGCGGAAAAGTAAAATACAACTTGATTCAACTTCAATCGCAGTTGACTATATAGACAACAACGTCCCAAATTAGTCATCTGTTTAAAATGGCATACATAAACGACTAAAGTCGACTGGGCAGACGACTTCAGTTAACAAAATTAAATTTCAGTAGATTTCAACTTTTTTCCACACGGGCATGTAAGTTCAAAAATTATTTCCGTTTGTTCTGTTCAATGATTGGCCAAATTTGGTCACTTTTCGTGGTCGGTTGAATATTTGTGTGTTTCAAAACTTCGTGGATTTTAACAAGATAGAAATAAATACCTTTTGAACACCTATGTGAATATAAATCTTAGCAATTTTACGTGAAATTCAATCGCCGTTAGATTTTGGTGTAAATTTTTTTCGATGAAAAATCGATTGTCAATTTTTGCAGACCGGGGCAAATACCGGCCGTTTGTGTGCCAGAGGGGGGCAAAACACGGAAACCCCCCCCCCCCTCTCAGCACCTATGAACCCAGACTGATATAATTAATAAGTACTCAGACTGATAATATTTATACAATTTATCACTTAATGATCACTTATTAGATCAGAGAGATTGCATATTTTGTATCGCTGATAAGCAATTTAATTGCAGCAATTGCATTGGACCCTTGTATTGTCAACAAGACACTTGTGAATAAGACGCAATGTTGTTGGCGTTCATACTTTGATCAATTGCATGTGTTTTTACATTGTACCTGAACCAAACCTGAGTTAATTTTAGTTTAGTGCAGTTTCGTTCATATTATACGAGGGTCACTATTTAAGTTTTTTCAAAAACATATATAAGACAATGGGGTTTCATCGAAAATGGTTTTTCAAAATATTCGCCATGATGATCAATACACTTTTGCATTCGCTCGAACCATTTGTCATAGCATTCATGCCACTCCGAAAGTGATATCTCCAAAACGTGTGTTTTGAACGCATCAACTGCTTCTTCGGGCGATGAAAATCGTTGACCACGCAGTTTATTCTTCACGCTCGGGAATAAAAAGAAATCGTTGGGTGCCAAATCAGGACTGTACGGCGGATGACCCATTAAATCGATCTTTTGACCGGTCAAATAATCGACTGTTTGATGAGATGTGTGAGAGCTCGCATTATCATGATGAAGAATTATTTTGCGACGGCGGTTGTTTTTTCTTATTTCACCAAACACTTCGGGCAAACAAATGGTGGTGTACCAATCAGAATTGACGGTCTTACGAGCCTCTAGTGGAACTGTTGCCACATGACCACTTATCGCGAAAAAACAGGCGACCATTTGCTTCGCAACACTTCGAGCTCGAACAACTTTTGTTGGGTTATCTTCACTTTGAAAGACCCATACAGTCGACTGCTGTTTAGTTTCGGGCTCATACGCGTAGATCCATGATTCGCCACCAGTGACGATAAAATACACGGATTTTGAAACACCACGATTGAATTTCTTGAGCATTTGTTTACACCAATCGACACGAGCCTTTTTTTGAGCGATTGTCAAATTATGTGGTATCCAACGAGAGCAAATCTTTCTGACAGCTAAATGTTCATGTAAAATCTTAAATACGCTGGTCGCACTAATGCCCAGGGATGCCTCAATCTCGTGATATGTTACATGACGATCTTCCATTATCATATTTCTGACAGCATCGATGTTTTCTGGTACAACAACTGATTTTGGACGACCTTCGCGGAACTCGTCGATGAGCGATAGGCGACCGCGCTTGAATTCGTTGTACCAATTATAAATTGTCCGAAGACTTGGTACTTCATCGCCAAAGGCCAAATGAAGTTGATCAAAACACTGTTGTTGTGATACACCCAATCGAAAGTGGAAAAAAATAATCGCTCGAAAATTTTCACGAGTAAAATTCATTTTTTGGCTGAGACGCAATTTACATGTTACGGTAAACAATACAAATAACGATCGAATGACAAAACGTTCTGAGAACGTTTATGCTACAAAATGTTAAACTTAACGAATATGACAATGGTTTGCATCGGGCAATACTAAAACATACATATTGAAGAAACTTAAATAGTCGCCCACGTACGTCAGTTCCATGCGTTTGTAGTTTACCATTTCCTTCAAATATTTTCTTTAAAAAAATCCAAAAAAATATTCATTTTATTATCTCTTTTTTGCAGAGTCTACAGTCGAATCCAACGTTATAAAGACCCTAATTTAGATCCACACGAAGATTACATTCTCGATATTTGTTGCTTAAAATGAGTCGAAAATCGTATAGTATGTTGGCATTCATATGTATAGCGTTCCTTATGGTCGTTGTTGCATCTCCATACTTTTCTAATGGTGCAAAAAATGTGCGTTCAAATTCGACAGATATCGAGCCGTTTTTGGAATTTCATTTCCACACATATTTCGATGTAAATGATCCGACGCAAGTTTCTCATGCAATCGAATTGAGAAACGAAATAATTGTCAATTGTGTGGTGAAAAAAATAATTGCCATTCCACTACACTATCACTATGATCCAGAGAATCCAGTATTGGAACGTATGTAACGCAAATGATTTTTTTATTCTTAAATATTTAAAATGATTTTATTGTTTGCACATTTAGATAACAATGACACAACTGGATTGAATATGCAGCCAATCGGACCGCATCCGATCGGTTCGTTTGAAACATGGGTACCTGTGGAATATTTTCCCAAATTGTACGAATGGTTTATACAGAAGCGCAGTCCATTGACTATTTTCGTTCATCCGCTGACAAAACACGAATTAACTGATCATACCGATAGAATTGTTTTCATGGGAAAATCGTACACCTTAAAGACAGATATATTGAGAGACATCATTCCGGACTTTAAATCCCAATATGAATACCTGAAATTGGGATACGCCAAGCCACAGGAATAAGAGAGGAAGAAAAAACAGAAAGTATTGAGATGAAAAAACTGACGTCAAACTGAATAATTTTTTTTAGTTATATCGCTTATATTTGAATAAAATGTCAGTTATTTGAGAGAATTACGAATTTATATTAACTTTGAAAAAAAAATTGGAATGAAATTAAGCGATGAAGTTGTTTGGTGAGTCCTTTGGAGTGTTTATAGCGCATGGTCTTCATTTTGAAAGGTGTTCCTGTAATTTACACAAGAAAATAGTTCAAAATTAAAGATTTTTTGTAAAATCGGAATATGTGGTAATTTTTAAATTAATTGCTAGATGTGTCACCATTGGATATGCGCAATGAGAAGGATTTCAGGATTTTCACCATTCTTTTAGACACCGTGCACACATATCACAATTCAACAACTATTTTATATTTACGGTGAATGCGGAAAGTTGATGTGCTATAAAATCCGGAAATTGTTCAATGGCAATCAAAATTCGTTCTTTGGCAAGTTCTTTTTCGTCCAATTCCTTTTTGTGTAGTTCACGAAGTTCCTGTAACTCTTTTTGATGATCAGCTTCGAGACTCTTGCTCCATTCTTGCTCTATTCTCCTTTTGTCTTCTTCGTCGATTCCATTGCATTTTTTGGCCAACATTTTTGAATTCATTTCTTGAATTTGCGCCAGCAAACCGTTCAGTACTTTTACGTGTGTTTGATTCAAAGAAGCGATCTCACTTTGATATTCTTTTCTTAATTTGGTTTCAAATAATTTCATCGCATTTTTGTGACCAGCTGCGAGGATGTCGCGCAGTTGTTTGGTCGATTTTTGATGATTTTCTTTCATAGTGGCTATTGCTTCGGTTGCCCTCGCATTTTCAGCACTCATGACTTGGATTTCTGCCAATAAGTCATCGATCTTTGTTTGATTTTCAGTCAGCGCTTGTTGGTGTGTTTTCTCCTCGCGAAGACATAATTCGTACTTGGATTTAGCAATCTCGCGATTTAGTGACCGAATCCGAGAGCACTTTTGTTTATTCTTCATCTTTTCGATGGAAAGTTTTTCATTGAGAGCTGTCACTTCTCTGGCGTGAGCGTTTGATATTTGGTTCAATTCGATGCTTGCATTCATTCTTAGTTTATTCCGTTCAGATGTGACGGCTTGCAAACGTTCGTTCAACTGCTTGTTTAAAGGTTCACTATTGGCATGTTGTCGCATCAAAGTGTTTAATTCAGACATTTGAATTTCGAGTTTTGACTTTAATTTTGACATCTGCTGAAAGCAATCCACTTCCTTTGAAATGTTCAACCGTTGTTTTTTCGCTGGAATTTCGTCGACGCCACCATTATCGATGTGGCCATCATATAAGATACTTTCTTTACCTTGTGTGCTTGCGAGACTGTGCTGTGTTGGCAAACGGTCGTTGTATCCCGGAAACATTGCATTCATGTGTTCCTCAATACGTTCCAAATCAAACGGTGTGCATGGCAATGTGTCCACAAATCGACAGTTAAACTTCCGTTTAATGCTCGCTGTATACTGTTTCAGCTCCTGCAAATAAAACGATTTTTAATTTTATGGAATCCAAAATCCGTCTCCAGGTTCAAATAAACAACAAGTTCAGATAAAAAGCAGTATTGACTCGATTTACCTCGATGGCCAGACCAATGCCGGTCATCCGGTGTGCTTTATTGATCGGTGATGATGAGTTGATTGTAAACAGTTGGCAATTTTCTGCCGGAACATCGACAAAATTATTATGGCCGAAGAAAATGACTTTGATAGAGGTTTGATTTGGTGTGAACGAAATGAATTTGGCCGGCCAGTAGTTAAAATCTTTTTCACATGGCCAACAATTTTGCGATCGCATTGCTTTCGTTGATAACTTTACCCAGAGCAGCAAGTGCAGCTTATTGCAGACCATTTTACGCCATTCATTTGATTTTAAACGCTTCTTTTCATAACAATCGTAGCAACTGCAAATTTCTTCGAATTCCTGGGCACAAAATTTTATTAAATTACTGGCAGCTTTCATGATGATCCAATTAGATCCTGCGGAGGTTTTATACACATGAAAAACTTAGTTTTACTCAAAGGTTCATTCAATCGAAAGATGAATTTCAACACCAACCTGAGTGTATGAAGCAATTGTGCAAAATGCACTCGATATCACCAATAAACGCGTGAAAACTGTCGTACAATTGACCTTTCACTTTAAAATCAATTTCATTCAGATCGATTGGTAGTGCAATTTCTGCATTGGATCTGTGCCATACAATGTGATCGTTTAGCATTTGGAACTAAAAATAAAAAAAAAACTTCAGAAAAAAATTGGGTTATTTTTTTTTGTATACTCACATCGGGATTGAGCATCACATCAGTCATGATGTAGTTTAGCATTTTCAGTGGCTTTTGGCTAAAAAAAAATACGCCGAATTGGTTAACTCTTTCAACAAATCGATCATGTTTTTAAAACACTTACTCGTCGGTGCCAGCATCCTTCGACTTTTTGATGACAATACAAACCGAACAAAATTGAGAGCCAGTGTTGTTCAAAACCGAACTGATGCACGTGCCATGAAAGGACCGAAAACACTGTAGTGAACACGTTAAATAATAATTGTTTAATTTTCATGTTGAATTATTGGACAGGTTAATACTTAACGGTTGAACAATGGAATTTGACGCATCCTCCATGGCAAATCCAACAATACTTGTCGTGAGCGTTCTGGAAAATTCAGAATAAATGTTATAAATTGCTTTGCAAGTGGTGGAAAGGACAATCATATAGACAACTGATATACAATGAGTCGCCTGAAATTTTCTCTTTCTTACCAATTTGCTCGAAAATTCACCAAAAAATTTGGTTTCCATCTTATAGCGATTTTAAAATTCGGTAAAATGATGTGATGTGTATCACATCAGGATTTTGACTTAACACGTGTTCTGAGTTTTAGGTTTTACGTCAATTATACGTCATTGTATACTGTCGATGAGTGCGTCCATTCGAGAATCTAAAACCGTTTCGAATTTGAGACATTTTTTTGAAATTCAGTAAAAAGAACAGATTACACATTCAAAAAGAAAGGTTGACGCTGTATTTGCTTAAAGAAAATTAAATTGGTTTCTACAAACCGTGGATGGTAATTTTTGGCTTTCAATTCAAAAATTAAGGAATATTAACCATAAGTTAAAAAGAAATCAAAAAACCAATTTATTTAAATCTCTTTTTTATTTATGGATTTCATTGAATTGAAATATCCTGAATCCTTTTCTCCCGAATCATTCTGAACTTCGAAAATCGTTCAGTTTATTTAAATGACGTAAATCTACAGTTCGGTATTTTTTACAAATTTTCAATGCCAAATGTTGTAAAAACATTTGTGCGTACAATTGAAAAGGAGAACGGGCTAAAGAAAGTGAAGAACCTTCATTTATGGTTCTAATTACAATTAGGCTTATACAACTTATATGTTTGTTATTATAATAAATGGAACGAAAAAAAATGATGAATCAAACAATGAGTGTTCATCAATTTGGAACTTATTAAACTTATTAAAACCTCAATAAATAAATAAATATTAAGTTCATGGCAAAAGGCCTTAAATTCCAAAGTGTTCAAAATGAACTTTCGTTCATTGTTTAAGCATTTCAATAAATGCCGATGTTTGATTCGCGAAAAACGCCGGTAATTCTTTTTGAATTGCATGAAAGTTTTCTTTTTTTGATCGTTCTACAGCGTCCTCTATATCTTTTTTGTGTTGTTCACAAAGTTTGGCAATTTGTTCGTCCATTGTTTTTTGCACATTTTCGCGCAATTCTTCAATTAATTTTTCATGTGTTTCCTTTAAATTGGCTATTTCATCGTTTGCTTTGGTTAATGCTGCAGTATTTTCCGAACTCATCGCTTCAATTTTTTGCAACAATGTTTGATTTTCACCGAGTACCCGTTGGTGTACTTCATTCAACGTGGCCATTTCGTTGGCATGATCAGTTTTTAATTTGTCCATTGCGGTCTTTGCATTTTGAATTTCAATCGAAAACGATTGATTGAGTGCTGCCACCTCTTTTTCATACGCATCTTTCGTTTCCTTTGCACTCATTTGCAGTTGGTTCACATTTTTAGCGGCCTGAGTCAGTTTTATAGCCTTTTGTTTATTTTCGCTATGCAACAGACGAAGTCGAGATTGCTTTAGCTCTTTCTCCTTCACTTCAATGGATAGCTGATTATTGAGAGATGCCACTTGTCCGTCGTACATTTCTTTCATTTGGATCTCATTCAGTTTGATTTGTTCACGCTCTGCAGTCATGGTTTGCAAACGCTCGCTCAACTCTTTGTTCAATTTTTCACGATTCACATATTTTCGCTTCAATGTGTTCAATTCATTTTGTTGCACTTCGAATTTTGACTGTAAAGTGTCGCTCAGATGGCGAATCTGCTGGAATGCTGAAAAATCATCAATTTCAATGCGCCGCATTTTTACCGGAGAGCCTTCGGTGCCAAAATTATCCTTGCGATCACTATCTGAGTCATAATCATCGTCTTTGATGCTTATGACCTCGGTAACCTTGTTCTCTGGTGGAATACAGTCGTTGTATCCCGGGAACATTGCATCCATGTGTTCGTCAATGCGATCCAAATCAAGCGGAGTGCAGGGTAATGTGTCCACAAAACGACAGTTGAACTTCTTTTCAACGTTCTTCACGTACTGTTTCAGCTCCTGCAGATAATATGATTATTTTTTAGGTGATTATAGGCCATGGCAAAAATCGTTTTTTAAGTTTAGACCATTGACTCAATCCAAATATTTACCTCATAACCATCCTTGACGTTGACTTCGGCCGATATTTTCATTGCGTACAAACGGCAACTTTGAGTTGGGATCTTGATAAATGTATCATGGCCAAACAACACGACCTTGACGAGTTCCCGATCGTCCGTGGCTGAGATGAATTTTGCTGGCTCCAATCCATTTTTCAATTTCACGACCAATATCAAATGTGGTTCGTCACACGCCATCGTCCGCCATTGAGTTGGTTTCAATCGTTTGTTTTCATAACAACCAGCACAGTCCGTAATTATTTCCGTCTCCTTCATACAAAATGTGTGTAACTTGCTGGCAGCAGTAGTACAACTGGATTCTCCTGTCATTTTTTTGTGTGATAATTTAAACTAACTTTACTAAAAGATATCACACACTAGATGTGCGGAAAAATAAAACTTCAACCAACCTGAGTAAATGGCACTGTTGTGATGAATGTACTTGATATCGACGAGAAACGCATTGAAACTGTCGTACGACTGCTTTTTGACCAGCTGTTTAATTTTACTGAGGTCGATTGGGTGGAAAATTTCATCACTGGAGTTTTGCCAAGTCAAATTTTTCAATATTTTGAACTGAAACAATTTGATCATTTTAACAATTTTTGATTGAATATAAAAAAGGTTTACTGCAAAAGCATGCAAAAGTGAAGGAGTCTTTTTCAATTATACTCACCTCGGGATTGCGTGAAACGTCATTCATCACGTACTTTAGCATTTTCAACTGTTTTTTCCTACAGAATTACATCGGATTGGTTATCTTTTTTTTGTTTGAGGAAATCTATTTAGCATGTGCTGATCTCTCAATGAAACACTTACTCTTCGGCATCCTTTGTCCTCCTCATGGTAATGCACACGGCACAACATTCCGAATTTGCACCACCAATATCGTTCAGAACGGGAATAACGCAAGAGTCATGAAATGAACGGGAACAAGTTGTACATTGGAATTTGGAACTTGAGCGCGCCTTGTGACAAATCCAACAGTATTTGTCGCGATTATTCTAAATCAAAAAATTACATTTGGAACCACATTAAACATAGCAAATTTTTAAAATATAAAAGGAGATTGTGATTCATGACGGTTGTTTCTCAAAACGGTATATTTCATAAATATATCGAATATTGATTCATCAATAATAAAATAATGAAATCATGAACTTTTGCGTACAAACCAGCGAATCGGTTTCTTTGTGTCGCTTTATCATGAATTGGGCTTTGTTAAGTGAGCAAGTATATTTTTCTTGTGTATATTTGTCGGCGATTTCAATTAAAAATCAATACTTACCGTTTTATTGGCACTTTCGCCGCTTTCCATGTTTAAAGTGGTGATTTTTGTGACGAAAAATTGAAAAAGTTCTATCAAATATCGAAACGACTGTGTAAATCTCGTGGAGCGTTACTGCTATGCTACTGAATTTTGATTGTGATAGCGCAACTACGACATAATGTTGACATTTGCAATTGTGTCATTACTTAAACGATGAGTGCGTTCATTGAAACACTTTCGAATTTGTATGTACCTCAAACCAAACGGAGCACAACAAGTCAAATTACATAAAAGAAACAGAGAATGTGAAAAATGATGGAATTTTCTTTATTTTAAGAATTTTAACTCTTTCAGGAAAACTTATAAATTTCAATGACTCGCAATGACTTTATGGTCTGATTGTAATTTTACCAAAAGCAATGTATTGTATGACATGTTTTAGTGGTATGAAAATTAAACTTAAAACTGCGATGTGTATGTGATTTTCATTTATGTTTAAACTTAAATTTAGTTGATAATCAAGTGATATTTTTAATGCAAGATACAAAAAAAAGAATGAAGTTCTTCATGGTTCCCATTTTCGGCAGTCTTTCCGTAATGTAAATATCAAATTGGTTTTGAATTAGACAAAACGTTTTTTTCCTACAAATTCTGGTCAACACATCTGTGGTCATTGGTTTGGATTTCAGAAAAGGTTCTGAACTTTATTTTTAAAATCGGCAATGATACGTTCTTTTTCATTTTCCAGTTCCTTTTTATGTTGTTCCCGAATTTCCCCCAAATTTCGATCATTCTCATTTTGTAATTTAATTTGAAATTCTTTCAATGTATTTTGATGATCGATTTGAAGAATTTTACGCTGGTCTTCGACGCATGTGTTATGTTTTTTCTTCATTGTGGTCATTTCGTCGCTTGCTTTTTCCAGTGCACTTTTGGCAACGGCATTTTCGGAAGTCAATACTTGGATTTGAGTCAACAAGCTAGTGATTTTTATTTGATTTACAGCAAGTACTGTTTTAGCTAATTCTGCCATTTCTTTGGCATGGCCATCTTTTAATTCGCATAACTCCGATTTCAATCGGTCCCGTTCAGAAGTCACAGCTGCCAATTCATTTTTTTGAACTTCGAATTTCGATTTTAATTCGGTGCTCATATTTATTATCTGTTGAAAGCAATCTACTTCACTTGAAGCCTCATTGTCAATCCGTCGTTTTTTCAATGGAATTTCCTCGGTGCTTGCGGGATCTTTCTGTGTTGGCAAACTATCGTTGTAACCCGAAAACATGGCATTCATGTGGTCATCAATACGATCCAAATCAAATGCTGTGCATGACAATGTGTCCACAAAACGACAATTGAACTTTCTTTCAACGTTGGTTGCATACTGTTTCAACTCCTGCAAATAAAATGACTTTTAATTTTATTGAATCCAAAGTTTGTTTTGAGTTTAATTAAACAATCCCGGGTCACCTCTAAGGCTGGATTGATATCGTCTTTCTGATTATGTTCTTCATTCATTGACATTTCGGTTGTATACAGTTGGCAATTCTCTTGGGAAATATTGACAAGTTTGTTATCGTCAAAGAAAATGACTTTGATATTGCTCTGATTCGTTGTGCCGGAGATAAATTTGGCTGGCCAATACTTAAAACCATTTTCGATGGACCAAAATTTTAAGGAAGGCGTAGCTCGGGATGGTAATTTCACGCGTAATATCAAGTGGGGCCTATTGCAGGCCATTGTGCGCCATTCGTGCGGTCTCAAATGTTTGTTTTCGTAACAATAAGTACAGCTGGAAATTGCTTCCACTTCATCTTCACAAAATAATAATAATTTTTTGGCCGTTCGGGATAATGTTGAATTTCGTTCTGTGAAAAAAAATTGTATGAAAAAATAATTCAATTCCAAAAAAAATCACTTGAAATGAACCAACCCATGATAAAACAGTTGTGATAAATTCCTTCGATATCAACGAGAAACGAATACAACGTGGCGTACTTCTGGCTCACAAAATTCTTTTTCATTGTGTTGAGATCAATTGACTTGAAAATCTTTGGATCGTTGATAAATTCTTGTAAATTCTTCAGCATTTTGAACTGAAATGTACAAATTAACGCAATTTTAACAATCTAGTTACAAAATAAAGGTCTTCTTTCTGGAATATACTCACATCTGAATTACGTTCAACATCAGTCATTATATAGTTCAGCATTTTCAATTGCACGAGACTCCTAGAAAAATAAGACGAATAAAATTGAATTGGTCAGATCATAGATGCTATTTGATTTTAATAAAACACTTACTCTTCGGTGCATGGATCCTTTGATCTTTTCGGGAAAATACATGCTGAACATGATTCCGAATTTTTAACACCAATATTGTCCAGATTGATATTTATGCACCAGGGATGATACGACCGAAAACAAGTAGAGCAATTGAACGTTCTGTTTAGACCATGGCAATACCAACAATACTTATCATGATCGCTCTGAAAAAAATGCACAATAAAAATTCCCCATTAATCTGGTATTTTGTAAAAATTCGAATTTTCATATCATTTATCTGCAATTTTGTGGGCTAATGATCAATAATTACCTTGCTTGTTATCACTGTTTTACCAATATCTTTAGTTTCCATGCTTCAATGAGCGAATTTTCTTGAAGAAAGCGGTGAAAAATCTTATAGAATGTAGGAACACGAGGAGCTGGATTGCCAAATGCGCTGGATTTGAGGTTAGGCGCTGCTATAAGAAAATTCACATACTGACATTAGTGGCATGAGTGCGTTCATTCTAAAGCCTGAAACCTGTTCGAATTCAAATTTAAATCAAACCAAGAGGATCAATGTATTTCAAAGTCGAATAGAAACAACAACTAATTGTGAAAATCAATGGAATTTTCTTTATTACTTTATAATAACATCAATTCTTGGAAATAAAGTTTAACCAATGAATCAAATGATGTCGTAGTGTTTGTGACGTTCTTATTTATTTTGGCTCCAACGTTCGAAGGTGTTCCTATAATGAATAGAAACCAAAACTCATTACAAAAACTCTCCCAATTCCATCCAATCCACTAGCTCCTTACCACAAATCCTCGCATTTCTGATTACAAAAGCCATTTTTGTTGCCAAACACCAAGCATCCAAGCTGCATCCTTTGCACTTTGCTCTTTTCCCATTTTGTTCGTCAATTTTCTTCTGTAGCTTGACAATCGTTTTTCTGTACTTGTTTTCCATTTGCGATTCGATGTCATTCTTTTCCTTGGTGATTGCTTTAACTTTTTCTTCCATCTGTCTAATTTTCTTGCGTTGTTCCAAATGATTTGTATCGGATCTAGTACGTTCCTTCTCTGAAACCGTTATTTTCTTGTATTTTCGACGTATTTCGTCGCATTCTCGGCGATGATTCTTCTCTAATTTTTTGATCGTCTCCTGATGCTTGACACGAAGGTCTTCTTTGTCCTGATTTTGAACGATGATCGCCTCTTTGTAGATAAACTCATGTATTTGGTTGATCATCGCAATTTCTTGACCATGAAACTCCTTTGCATTTATCAACTCCTTTTGAGCTTCCATTTTCTCTAAATCCCGCTCCGAAGCGATGTTCCGTAGCTCGGTTAGCAGTGCATTGTTCTTGAATTGATGATCGGCAATCGCTTTTTGTGCCATTTTTAATTCCATTTGCAAAGTTTCAATATTTAATTGGTTTGTGCTGTCAATATTTGTGACGTTGTTTTGGATGCTCTTTACGAGGGCTACACTTTCGTTGAGTTGCTTTTGCAATAGCTGTGCCCATTCGGATGGATGGTAGAATGCACTTTCAAGGCCGGACCAGTAAGAATCACTAGCAAGCACCGGTTGACTGGATGCCATGAGAGATCCATCGATGGGATTTTGACTCTGTTCAATAGCCGCAGGACTTTTGCATTGGATTTTTACATCATCGTTGATTGATTCATTTTTGTGATGACCATGCAGCGTTTCATTAAAAAAAACGTTGTAGTCCGAAAACATAACCTGTCACACGAATACAATTTGGAGGGAAAAATTATGACCATTGAAGTTTTTACTCTTAAAGTCAGATTTTTTAACACTTACCAAGTTGTCCATTGATTGATTTGACATTTTATCTTTATTCGATCCAAAAGTTGAAAAAAATTGAGTAAATTTGAAAGAAATTTTTTGGAGATTTAAAACAAGCGTACATTTTTTGGAGATTTAAAACAAGCGTAATTTTTTTGGTAGAAAGCTTTATGACAATGAATGCACTTGTCAAAGTAGCGATGTTGAAATCAGAAAACAGCGCCCCCTACGAATGGATGCATTCAAATTCGATTCACGTTTTTGCGTTTTTCGGTCTCGATATTTTCGGTCTGTTTTTCGGTTCATTCGAAAAAAAAACATGGAAAAAGTTTGTTTCCAGTTTTATGTCGAAAAGACACCTTGAAGGCTGTAGGCCTGTATAAGTGCTGCTCTGTCCTGTATTCCGCACCTGACTAGAGGAAAGAACGACACTTACAAAAAAAAAATGGAATAATTGCAAGCACTCAATAGTATCCAAACGTATCTGGTGGCAATAATAGCTCCAATTCAAACCTTTGGCTTTCGAATGGGCAAAAATGAAATGAATGGTGTCTCTACATGAAACCATCAGCTTGAATAAAACTAAAGAATAGGCGTTTCTTCTAGGTTGTTCGTGTTCAGTTTTAGTCTAGGTTTGAGCTCAGTACAAGTTTGAGTACACTGACGTCAGATTGATTGCAGAGTCAATTTTCCCCATGGAACATGAATCAAAGGTCAATGAATCTTGAAAATAGAGAAACTCGTGGAGTAGTTGACATTGAGAACAACATTGATTAGAAATAATGAAGAATAAAATTTTATTTACGATTCGATTTGAATACAATTTTTTATGTCTTTCGAACAAATTTTTGTTTGTGTTGAACTGTCAAATATCTGTATGTCATTATGTAAAAGAATTATAAAAAAAGTTAATAATTTGAAATTAAATTAAAAGATGAAGTCTTCGACTTAAAATTGAATTGAAGTTGCTATGCAACTCTTTGTGTGGTTGTCTCGTGGTCAAAAAGACGATGAACGATGTATCTATAACTGAAAAAAGAACCACTCTGTCTCCAAATGACATAAGTACCTAAAACGTCAAATTATTTAACTAAAGTTCAATTTTTCTACTCCAAACAGTTCCTCACCTTCACTCATTTTCAATGAAAAGAGCTTTAAATTTCGACTTGAAGTCATCAATGGCGCATTTTGTTTCCTCCTCCAGGTCCTTTTGATGTTGTTCGCGAATGGCATCCAACCAAGCTTGCTGCTCTTCTTCCATTTTTTCTTTAAGCTCCTTCATCATTTTCTGATGGCCCACCTCAAGATTTGCGCGTACTTTTTTCAACGATTTCTTGTGCTTTTCTTTCAAACGTTTCATCTCCTCGTTTGTTTTGGCCACCGCATTTTTCGCGTTCATATTCTCAGCGGTCATGGCTTGAATTTTTGCCTGCAATTGCTCAATAACCGTTTGATTTTCATTTTGAGTTTCTTCGCGTAAGTGATTCATATCTTCCATATCGACGGCGTGATCGTTTCGCATTCTGGCCAACACATCCTCATGTTTGGCTGTAATATTTTTCACATGTTCCGATAATTCTTGCAGCTCGTCTTTCAAACAGTCGTAATCATTGGATTCGTCTGGTTTTTGCTGTTCATTTTGAATGACTTCCTTTTCCGCCATCGCTTGCTCGTGTGACTCTTTCAATTTGGCCATTTCGTTGGCGTGTACAATTGCCGCATTGGTCAATGCTTGCTCTGCTTCTTCCCTTTCTCGCACCACTTCCGATGTAAGTGCTTGTATTTTATCGTTCAAGTCTTGGATCATACTTTCGTATGCAGCGTATTTCTCTTGCGATGTTTTCAAATCATTTTGCAAGGCTGCGAATTTCACCTCGACTATCTTTTCGAAATGCGTGGCACTGGTTTCCATGGTTTGAGACATTTGTGCCATTTCACTATGGAAAGAGTGTACCAATTCCTGAACAAATGAAGCGGCAACACGGGGCGGAGATTCGACGATCGATGGTGAACTGGACTCGACGAAACCTGAATCATTTGCAACGGTCATGCCATATTGGTGATCGTGTTCAATGTATCTTTCCACAACATCATCGCTATTTTTCGATGAGACGCGCTGTTTCTTGAGTGGAATTTCGAGATCAATGTCGGTTTCAACGCTAACGTTGTCACCATTCGCGTTTGTAAGGACTTTTTTCTGTGCTGTGCTTTTTCTTTTTGGGGCCGACTTTCGTGGTTTCCGAACTGTATTTTTGCTCTCGACTCCGATGGCATTATCATTTTCACTGCTGTCAGGGCTGTAGCTTTCATCGCCACTAGCACTATCATAGTCATCATTACTGTTACTCTCATCGCTGAAGCTACTCGTAGAGTACGTTTCGTCGCTATCCATTTCGCTACTGCCAGTGTTTTCATCTTGGCATTGTGGGCTTGGTGGATCTTGGTCATCCGAAGATGTGTCAATGTATTTCGGATACATTGATTTCATGTGTTTTGTCAGTCGATTTCCATAGAATCGAGTTCCTTTCTTGGCCAATCGGAAAGCACCAAACTTTTTACCGGCGTTTGTTGTGTATGCCTTCACTTCCTGACAAGCGCAAAAATACAAGGAGTAAAAAAATCTTTGAAAATTCCGCATAATTCTTCCTCGACCAATTCTGTCTTACCTTCAATACGCTTTCCACGTTGAATTTGTCATATGCCGGAGCCTCTCTCGAGTACAAATAGCAATTCTCTGCCGAAATGTTGACGAAATCCGAATTGTCACCGTCAAAGCGAATGACTTTGAATTGATCACCATTTACGAGGCTGATCAGTTTGACTGGCCAGTACTTGCGGCAATTCAAGCCACGTGTCCATAGCACGATATGTGGCTTGCTGCATACCTAAGGGGAGAATCACAAAAGAAAAGAATAAAATTTAAAATAATCGATAAGTAATCGGAAACATATAATCTCATACGTAATACATATATTACAATTAATGTATGAATGTGAATGACGATAATCGAAACTAATCGAAAAATAATCGTAAAACAATAAATAATAATTTGCTGCATACCATTAGCTGCCACATTTTCGTATGTTTGTGCTGGTTTTCATAACATTCAGCACAACCTTTTTCGATATTCTCGACTTGAGCTCGGCAATATGCCACCAAATTTTTCGCAATGTCACCTGAAATAGCAAAATAAACACGTTTGTCAACGGTCAAGAGGTATTGATGACATGATCTTACATAGTGATGCCAATGAGATTCGGCCAAGTATCTTGATGTTGTGCCAAATACGTTCGGCGTCAACGATGAATTCCACAAAACTATCGTAGAGTTGATCTTCGGCTTTCTTTTTCATTTCGAGCAAGTCAATGGGATTGCTTATGTTGGTCATTATTTCCAACTCGGACTGCAAGTTTTGGAACTATAAAATAACATCAATAAATTATTATTACTTATATCAATTCTAACTGTACGACAAAGATCTCACAGTAGGATTCATCAAAATATCGTCCATTGTGTATTTCAGCAAATCCAAAATCGATTGTCTAAAATAACAAGAGATAAAAATTAGCATGGAACTTTTGTTTTGTGATCGAACACACAACGGTACATACTTTCCCTCAAAATCATGTTTTGACATTTCCAAATCGTTGCATATCGGACATTGCCAGTCGGCTTGACCAAAAAGCGGCTTTTCAAAGTCATCCAGACACTTGCCGTGGAACGAGCGGAAGCATTTTGAACAACTGTGTCGTGACGACCTTTTGTCACATTTCCAACAATACATACCACGAGACGATTCCTGAAAATTCAAACGGAACATTCGATATAAATTTGTTAACGGCACCTTCAAGCATGATGCTTGAGAGATGAACAGACAAAAATTACGCCTCTCTCAATTACTTTGTGCTGTTGACTCAACAACAAATACCTTTCTCACACTAGACGTGAGGAAAAGTAGAAAAAAGTATTGAAATAACTATGAAACAAGTAAACTGGTGTCAATTTGTGTATCACAACCTCAGAAATAAACTGTGCTTATTATAAAATGGATATAATTTTGTTCAGTCTATGCAATTATGTAGGAAACTGGTTTTTGATTCATTTCTTGTCAGGGGACTTAAGTTACTGTACTAAATTGTTTCTACTTACCACTCCCGAGTGTGGTTGGCCCGGAATTTCAACACCATTTTGTTGCTTTATTTTCATCTTTGATGAAATTTATGACTTTTTGTCAGGTGTTCACGAGAAAAATCTATCAAAATTGAATTTTCTTTAATATTTTTAATGGTGACTGTACTTATTTTCGTGTTTTCTGATATCACTGCGATTATACTGAATCTCGGAGCGCAGTTTTCTACAACCTCTTTCGTTCTCGCGGTCTTTTCAACTGGAACTGTCAGTATGCATAGCACTTTACTGCACCGCACAACGACCACGGTGAATGAGTTCAATGAAAAGGGTCGTTTTATGCCGTCACAATATAAATTTCGAAATTCGAATTCATATTCATATTGGGATGCAAAATGTAACGCTCCTTTTCGAATTTGTCGAGTTGTTTTCGAGACAGTCCTTTTCGAATTTGTGAGTTTTGGCAAAAGAGATTGAATCATGGAAAATATCACATCATTTTAATTCGAAAGCATTAATAACAACGGATCGATGATATCGATAGAAATAAGCTTTATTGGTGAATTGTTTCCAAAATGACGCCTTAAGACGGTCAACGTATACATTTTTGGAATGAAAACTAAGTTAATGATTTATTGTATGGAGTGTGTTGAAGACTAGGTTGAAGAAATTGCTGATTTATTCTTTGTTTCTCTGCTGTTTATCCTAATTTTTAATGAAATTATGCTGTATGATGGAATGTCCTTTTGGAATTTTTATGTCCGCGTAATGTATGGTCTTCGTTTTAAAAATGGTACCTGTAATATTAACATTCGATTGCTTAAATAATGTTCAAACACAAATTTTCTAATTATAAATTTTGGTATACTCACCACTGTTCATGGTTTTGGAACAAGGGCCGGACTTTTAATGTCACTTGCGACATGTTCCTTTCCGTCCACCAGATCCTTTGTAGGTGATTCCTGGCTTTCAGCCAATTCTTTTTTCAAATTATTTTTTGGTTCTTCCTTTTGGTCGGAATCAAGATTTTCGCGCATTTCTTCATCGGATTTTTCTTGCTTTATGCTTGAAGCCACCACTTCTTCGCTGGCATTTGCGATTTTATGACTCATGACTTGGATTTGTGCCAACAAGTCCTTCTTGGTTTGTTCGTGTGATTGATTTTCGGCGATTAATTGTTTGAGTGATTTATTCAGATTTGCAATTTCAATGGCATGCTTCTTTTTCAAATTGGCCAATGTGTCCTTTGTAACTGAATTTTCTAGCGCCCGTTTGAATGTGAGAAGTTCCATTTTTTCAGTCAAGCTCTTGTTCATTTTTTCGTATTCAGCGATTTTCTTTTTCGAAAAAATCAGTTCCTTTTGTACGGCTTCAAATTTGAGTGTGCTTGTCATTTCGTCGATTTGTGAATCAATGCCTTGTGTAGAGTTTGCTTTGCTTTGACCAGGTGAAGATTCGACGACCGATGATGATGTTAAACTGGAGTTGTTAAAACCTGAATCGTCTGCAAAACTAGTGTCATATTGATGGTCGTGTTGAACCGTTTCTAGCACACCATAAATGATTTCGTTTTCCGAGGAGATACGCTGTTTCTTCGTTGGAATTTCTGCATCCATATCGGCGTCAGTTTTGTCAATAATGTTGCCATCGGTGCTACGATTTGCTGGTATTTCTTTCGATGTCGTGCTTTGACATTCTGACGAGAGACGCCGCTTCATATCTTGAGTCAAATTCGTACTGGTGGCATCATCAATTTCGGTGGTGTTGACGGAATCTTTATTGGAGCTGTCAATGGAACCGTCATCTTGTTTACCGTCAATGGAACTATCACTTCTGTCCATTTTGCTGTTATTGTCCTCTTTGGGCCATTGGATGAACGGATGGCTTGGCTGATATCGTTTATTCGCACTTAAATCTTCAATGCTGTTTTCATCCTCGCTGCTTTCTTCATCCTCACTGGAGCTAGTGGCACTTCCAATGCTTTCTTCATAATATTCACTAGAGTCAATGTCAACATCACTAAAGTAATTGTCCATTTCTGTGAAGTCACTTTCGATGCCGTCCAAATTGTACGGGCACGGCCCATCGTAGTCTGGAAATGTTGCCTTCACGCGTATGGCGAGTTTATTTTGATAGAATCGAGTTCTTTTCGAAGCCAACCAGAATCGGCCAAATTTTTTCTCGGCGTTTTCAATGTATGACTTCACTTCCTGAATAAAAAGAAGAATAAGAATTCTTTATATTTTGTCTTTTTCCATCCCGTTTACTTCTTTCTTACCTTTAGTTCGCGTTCCAAGTTGTATTTACCGTATGCGGGCGAATCTCTCGAGTACAAGTAGCAATTGTTCGCCAAAATGTTGACGAAATCTGAACTACCGCTACCAAAGCGAACGACTTTGATTTGCTCCGCATTTACAATCGAGATTAGTTTAACCGGCCAGTATTTTCGGGCATTCAAATCGGTTGTCCAAAGTATTATGTGAGGTTTTCTGCAAGCTAAAAATTGCCATTCTTCCGGATATTTGTGTCTGTTTTCATAGCAATCAGAACAACCTTCAATATTCTCGATTTGAGTTTCGCAAAATTCCACCAAACCGTTGACAGTTTCAGCTGAAAAATTGAAATAAATTTGCTTTAAATTTGAACCATAAAGAAATATTGGCATAATCGTACATAGAGATGGTGATGGCAACCAGCGACGTATGCCGATATTATGTAAAATACATTCAATATCAACGGCGAATGCTTCCAAACTATCGTAGAGGCCTTCATCGGCCTTCTTTTTCATTTTTATCAAATCCACTGGGTTGACGATTTCAGCGCTTTTATTGAAGAAGTTCTCCAACTTTTGTTGCAACTGTCGAAACTATATAGAAATTAAAGAATACATTTGGATATTTCCTTTTTATGACAAAGAGCATTAACTCACAGCGGGCTTTTCCAAAATATCAGCTATGGTGTACTTGAGCAAATCCAGAACCGATTGCCTTTTAAAAGAAAAATAAATCGTCAATTTTCATGATTGAACCTCAATTAATTCGTCACTTACTTTCCGACAAAATTTGCTTTTGAAGTTTCCAGATCGATACATATCGGACATTGCCATCCGGCTCGGCCAATACGAAACCTTTCATCTTTCACACAGTCTTTGTGAAATGAACGGAAACAGTTCCAGCAATTATATTTGGCGGAGTCTATGTTACATTCCCAGCAATACTTGTCGTGAGCCATTTCCTTAAACATCAAACGAAACATTCGATATGCATTAGAAGGAGTATGAATTTTTTGAAGATATAAAGACAAATTATAGTTTCACGGAATTTTTCCAAAAAAAATAATTCATTGTTTTAAGTAAAATCAAATTGGTGCCAGTTCTTGTCACTGGTCCCTAAGATATCTACTTACTGCTCTTCGATGTAATTGAATTGCGTTCGGGAGTCCATCACTCTCTTGATTACCTGTTTCCATCTTTAGTTTGAATTTGTAACTTTTTGTCGAGAAAAATTCACCAAAATTGTATTTTTCGTATTTTTAATGGACACAATATTTATTTTTGTGTATAAGTCATCAGTTTATAGAAGCTCTGCCGTAGTCGCATTGATTTCAATTAGAACTGTCAATACACATACCATGATACTGCACTACAGTGTAGTGTCTACACAAGGACTGTAATGAATGAGTTCAATGAAAATGTCGTTTCATGACGTTGATCAGCGAATATGAATTTCGAACCCATTTTTATGATCAATCATAAGAAATCATTTATTTTATCGATTCATTTTTACAATTTTTCATATTTTTTTTAAATCAATTTTTAGTAATTTTAGGCTAAAATGATGTATTGAATGATTTGCTGTTGATGTAATTCAATTCATGATCGATTTAACATGAATTTGATGAATTTTATGATAAATCTAAATCTAACTCTCGATAAATTGTATTCGATTTCATTAGGCGACTTTCGCAATTAATTAAAAAAATGGCATGACTCATGAGAATAGAGAATCATTTCGATTTGCTCGATATTAAAACCAAGAACGGTCGTTTTGAGGCGGTTAACATATAAATATTTTGAAAAGAAACAAAGTTTGAAGGTGGAATTGGGTATTGAAGTTGCTGGTTTTATCCTCATCTTTTATGGAATTGGTGTGTTTACCTGTAATGATTCATTAATTTTCGATATTTGTATAAATTAAATGAATTGATTTATTTCTCGATTTTCAATCCCAAAAATTCTATCTCACCTGCATTCTTTGATGTGAACTTAAATTTGCAATGATGCCTTTATATTGGCTTTGAAGGTAACTGATGGTTTTTTGGTTGGCACACTCTTTTTTAATCATTTCTTGTTCATGCTCCCTTTCCAATTTATTTTTAAGTTCTTCCATCGCCTTTTGATGATCGGCTTCAAAATTTTCGCGCAATTCTTCGATCGATTTTTCATAGCTTACCTGGGGTTTATCAGAAGAATAGAATGAAAAAAAAAAAACGGAAATAGAATCGAAGGAATGGATCAGAATTGTAGAACAATAGAATAGTAATTTCATAGCTTACTCTTAAATCGGCCATGATGGTTTCAGTTCGAGCCGATGTATTTTTCAAGCTCAGAATCATTGCATCTCGTCCACGCAGTGTCTTCTTCAATTCCTCATTCCTTTTTTCCAATCCATCGATTTCATCTTGTGATTTTTCTTGTCCCAGTAAGTTATCGATCATCACTTGTTTTTCACGGAGAGTTTGAAGATTTTTGGACTGTATTTCGGCCAATTTTAGATGATTCTCTTCCAATATGCCAATTTCTTCGTTTGCCTTGGCCAGTACTTTCTTCTTTTCAGAAGTCATGATTTCAATTTGTGCCACTAAGCCATCGATCTTTTTTTGATTTGCAGTGACTTCTTGTTGATGTTTTTGATTCAATATTTTTATCTCGTTGGCATGATCATTCTTCAAATTGGCCAATGAATGTTTTGCTTCGGCGTTTTCTAGAACCTTTTCTAGATTTTTAATGTTTTGAATTTGTGCCGACAGTTCTTCCAGTTTCTTAGCACATTCTTCTTTAGCTTTTTGATTTCCGGTTTGAATAATTTGGCGCTGTTGTTCGGCCGATTTTCGATGATTTTCTTCCAAAATGGCAATTTCTTCTTTTGCCGTGGCCACTGCTTCCTCTGTTTCAGAAGTCATTATTTCAATTTGTGCCACTAGGTCAGCAATAATTGTTTGTTTTGCAGTGACTTCTTGTTGATGATTTTGATTCAATGTTTTTATCTCGTTGGCATGATCATTCTCCAAATTGGCCAATGATTGTTTTGCTTCCGCGTTTTCTCGAACTATTTCATTTGTAATGATTTGAATTTGCGTTGCAACTTCTTCCACTTCCTTCCGGGACTCAGCACGTTCTTCTTTTGCTTTTTGATATTTGATTTGGAAGCTAAGATGATCAGCAAGTAATTGCTCGTGTACTAGTTGCAGTTCTGCCATTGCATCCGGAAACGCTTCTTTATTTCGATCTAGTTCCGATGTGACGACTTGTAGCTTATCGTTTAAATCCTTGATCACTCTTTCGTATTCAGCGTTTTTTTCTTTGGAAACTTTCAGTTCATTGTGTACGGCTTCAATTTTGACTTGATTCGTTTTTTCGAAATTTATGGCTTCAGTTTGCATGATTTGTGAAAAATTTGTTATCGATTGTACCCAATCGTGAACGGTGGCTGACGAGTTGCAACCAGGTGGTGAGGTGGAATCAGCCAAACCGGAATCATTTGCAATACTCGTGTCATATTGGTGGTTGTCTTGAATGATCACTGCCACAGTATCATTTTCGACTTCATTTTCCGAAAACATACGCTGTTTCTTCGTTGGAATTCCTGTATCCATATCGGTGTATTCAATGAAGTCTTGACTGTCAGGCATAGTATTGATTTGAACATCAATGTCCTCTGAAGAGACACATCGTTTCCAACTTGGAATCATAGTGCCACTGTCACTCTCATCTTCATTTGAATTATCAATTTCCATGTCAATTTCATCGAAGTCAGTACTGTTTTCACTGTCATCAGTGCTCTCTTCACTGGAGCTTCCACTATTTTCTTCAGAATGTTCAATATAGTCACTATCGTCTTCAATGGAGTCAATGATATCGTAACTAACTGTACCATTCTCCCTTTCTTCATCATTTGGGTCTAGACCATATGGGCATGGCCCATTGTAATCCGGATACATAGCCTTAACATGAGTGTCGATTTGGTTTCGTAGGAACCGAGTTCCAATCGAAGCCAAATGGAAAGTGCCAAACTTTTTCTCGGCGTTTGCTATGTATGACTTCACTTCCTGACATGAGACGAAAAAAAGAAGAAAACATTTTATTTTTGTCTTTTTCCACCCCGTTTACGTTTTTCTTACCTTTAGTTCGCATTCTAAGTTGTGTCTACCATATGCGGGCGAATCTATCGTGTACATGTAACAATTGTTCGCCAAAATGTTGACGAAATCCGAACTGTGGCCATCAAAGCGAACGACTTTTATTTGTTTATCATTTACAATCGATATTAGTTTAACCAGCCAGTATTTTCGGTCACCGAAATTCTTTGTCCATAGCACGATATTCGGCTTGCTACACGCCATGAAACGCCATTCTTCCGGGTATTTGTGTCTGTTTTCATAACATTCGGCACAACTTTTGATGTTTTCGATTTGTGCCTTACAAAATTTCACCAAATCTTTGACAACTGAAGAATTGAAACAAAAATTAAAATCTATTTGCTCCAAGCTGAAACTCATAATAAGGAGTGGAGAAGAACAAATCATACGGAGTTTTTGGATATCTGATGATCGTCGGTCGGTGTAAATATTGTGGAAAATACATTCGGCATCAATGATGAATGCTTCCAAACTATCGTAGAGGCGATCATTGACCTTCTTTATCATTTGTATAAAATCGACTGGGTTGACAGCATCAGCACTGTTATTGACGAAATACTTCAAGATGTCTTGGACCATGAATTTTTTAAAAATATCGGCTTTGGTGTACTTGAGCAAATCTAGAACTGATTGCCTTTTGAAATGAGAGAAAAAAATTAATCGAGTCATTTCATGATCGAACAAAAACTTCGTTATTCAAATTAATTTTCACTTACTTTCCGACAAAATCAAACTTTGAATTTTCCAAATTAATACATATCGGACATTTCCATTCGGCTTGGTTAATGCAAAGCTTTTCATGTTTTTTCAGACAATTTCGGTGAAATGAACGGAAGCATTTCCAACAATTGTTCTTCTGAACGTGCTTTGAAATGGCTCGGTTGCATTTCCAACAACACTTATCGTGAACAATTTCCTAAAACACCAAACGAAACATCATTACATAAATTAGATCTACCAATGCAAAAGGAGACCATTGGATACAAAAAGAGTAATTCAATAAGCAAAAGATAGAGAGAGAAATTTTTAAGTATATTTGTTAATTTGTGCTCTGTCGTGCTTGTTGCAACGCCGAATTGAGTTGGACCGAACATGAATCAAGCAAGTTTTGGTTTTACTTACTGCTCTTTGGCGCGGTTGACTCATGTTTGGGGTTTCATCTTGATCATCTGGTTCCATCTTTGATGTAATCGGTTCTTATTGACTTTTTGTCATGTAACGGTAAGAAATACCCACCAAAATTGAATTTTTTCTATTTTTATTGGCGATTGTACTTATTTTCGTGTAAAAGCAAATTATACTGTATCTTGGTGCGTAGTTTATACAACCTTTGTCGCTCTCGCGTTCTTTTCAACTAGAACTGTCAATATGCATAGCACCTCACTGCAGTGCACAAGGAGCATAATGAATGAGTTCAATGAAAATGTCGTTTTATGCAATCAAAAGAAACCATTTATTTTATCGATTTATTTTTTTTTTTATTTCAAGCTACAATCTTGGGAATGATGAATCTAAATCTAATGTTCGGCATTGTATTCGATTTCATTACATTGGATCATTAGGAGACTTTTTTCTCGCTATTAATTAATTTGAATAAAAATGGCCCGAGTCATGAGAATACAGAGTCACTTCGATTTTTTCGAGATTAAAAACAAGAACAGTCCAAGAAATACATTTTATTTGGAAATCAATTTGAGAAATAATGGTCGTTTTGCTGGTCTATCCCCATCATTTATAGAGTTGGTGTTTGATGCTTTTCGGAATTTTAGTGTTTCATGACTACCTAAGGGGAGAATCACAAAAGAAAAGAATAAAATTTAAAATAATCGATAAGTAATCGGAGAATAATCGAAAAATAATCGGAAACATATAATGAAAAAATTGCAAAGCAATAGCCACAACAACAATAATGTCCAGCAATTGCTTTGAATTGAGATTTGGTAGTTGTAATCGCGATTCTGTGGAAGAGAATAAAAAAAATACTAGCTTACTATAGAATAGTACTTCTGGGTCTGCTGGTCACTACCTAGATACATACAATAACAGAAAAACAAACAATGAACATAAATTGCAGTAGATGAAATTAAATGAAAGCAATGAAATTGATTCGAATTGAAACATACCCCCCGGGAACGACCGCAGATACATTTCTTTAACTTTATGCTAAAGTTAACTTTGGTTGCCGGAAAGAATACGACTGCGGACCGGTTCGTAGTTTGGGCAAAATAGAAACTGAACGATACAAATTCGATACGATAGAATTAAAATTCATTTCACAATGAAGAAAATGCAATGCAAAAAAAACTTACCGATCCTTTGTATTCATATTTTCCGGGTTCTGACATCGTTGTGGTCGGTTTGTGAACGATTACCAGTGTAAGAACTAAAAATGTGTCCATATTCTTCTTCGACATTTGATGTGTTCGATTTGTTGTTCCTGCCAATGAATGAATGTTGAAAACAAAAAAAAATATTTGAAAAAAAATCTTAAAAAAAGATTCAATTGCATATCGTAGTCAAAGTGGGCTTTGAAAAATCATGAAAAACTGCGTCGCACTATTGGCTAACGATACCCGTAATCCACTGTGCGCAATGATGAAATTCATGATTTAACATGATTTTGTATTGTGTTCAATGTGTTTCTCTCTATCTCAATCTAATTCTAGCATGTAGTCAATTTTTTGTAAAAAAATTCGAAAATTCTGTTTAATATTATATTTTAAAATAATACTTACCGAACACCTTTTTTGGAAAAACCGACAAAAATCCAATTCGAGAGAATATTTCACTTTCAATGCAAACTGAAAATTTATGCGCAGCAATTTTAGTTCTTACACTGATGATGGTTCAAGACGATGTGACTTGTTGCCGACTTGTTGGTTTGAAATGTCGCAATCAAATACACTGTCACACCAACATATTCAAATCGCTTTGTCGTTGACAGTGGCCGATATTGAACAGCGAATGCGTTAGCTACTATGCAAAATATGACAATTGTTACCCCAATGTGATTTCTTGTTGCTGTTGATACAGTTTTCGTTTATCCGTTTGCGCCGCCATGTTGTCGTCGTTGTGACGTTGTTCCGATGCAATGCTACTGTGTGTACAACATTGATTCTTTGTGTGTTGTTCTCTCCACTGCTACTACCAAATCTCAATTTTTTGTCAGCAATCTGTTATATGCTGTTGTGACTTTTGTTTCTTTCGTATGTTTTCTCTTACATTCTAATGGTTCCCCAATCATCTATCATTCACTCACTCACTCATCCACACACACACTCTCTCTCTCTTTTTATTTCACATAGATTCAATTTCCATCATCGTCATTTGACAATCTCATACGTAATACATATATTACAATTAATGACGATAATCGAAACTAATCGAAGAATAATCGCAAAACAATCAATAATAATTAATAAGTAATTTTTAAGTGATTTGCCCCTCGTGACTACCATTTTGAATGATGCATCTGTAGTAAGTCAAAGAATCATATTGGTTTATTTCTCGATTTTTAATACCAAAAACTATATCTCACCAGCATTCATTGATTTGAACTTTGAGTTCCGATGAAGCTCAAAATATTGGCCAATTTACCATCATGCACTTTTTTAAGGTCTTCTATCGCCTTTTGATGATCGGCTTCAAGATTTTTGTGTAATTCCTCGATTGCTTTTGTGTGCTTCTCTTTTAAATCGGCCATTTGTTTTGCTTGTAGAGTTCGTTCAGATGTGATGGTTTCAATATCGGTCGAGAATTGAGCCAGTCTTTCCATCAAATCCTCGTTCTTTTTCTTCAATTCATAGATTTCCTCTTCGGACTTTTTCTGGTCGTTTGCATGCTCTTTTTGTAATTTTATTTCAAATGCTTCCATCGCTTTTTGATGTCCGATTTGAAGAATTTGTCGCTGTTGTTCGGCCGATTTTCGATAATTTTCTTTCAAAATGCCCATTTCTTCGTTTGCCTTGGCCAGTGCTTTCTCCTTTTCAGAAGTCATGATTTCAATTTGTGCCACTAAGCCATCAATCTTTGTTTGATTTGCAGTGACTTCTTGTTGATGTTTTTGATTCAATGTTTTAATCTCGTTTGTAATGGTTTGAATTCGCGTCGACAGCTCTTTCTGGCTTTTAGCAGATTCATCTTTTGCTTTTTGATGTTCGATATGGAATCTCAGTTTCAGATTAGCTAACGCTTGCTTTGCCTGCAATGCTTCTACTTCATTTCGATCTCGTTCCGAAGTGACGATTTGGAGTCTGTCGCTTAATTCCGTTGTCATTCTTTCGTATTCGGCGTTTTTTTCTTTAGAAACTTTCAGTTCATTTTGTAGGGCTTCAAGTTTGACTTGATTAGTCTTATCGAAATTTATGATTTTGGTTTGCACGATTTGTGAAATCGATTGAACTAAATCCTGAACGGTGGCTGCCGAGTTGAAGCTAGGTGGTGAGGTGGAATCGGCAAAACCGGAATCATTTGCAATGCTCATGTCATATTGGTGGCTGTCTTGAATGATCACTTCCAAAGTATCATTTTCAGTCAAGCTCTTGTTCATTTTTTCGTATTCAGTTATTTTCTTTTTCGCAAAATTCAGCCCCTTTTGTACGGCTTCAAAGTTGAGTGTGCTTGTCGTTTCGCAATTTGTTTCATCGATTTGTGAATCAATGCCTTGTGCAGTATGTGCTTTGCTTTGATCAGGTGAAGATTCGACGAACGATGATGATGTTAAACTGGAGTTGTTAAAACATGAATCGTCTGCAACACTAGTGTCATATTGATGGTCGTGTTGAACGGTTTCTAGCGCACCATGAACAATTTCATTTTCCGAAAAGATACGCTGTTTTTTCGTTGGAATTCCTGTATCCATATCGGTATCGGCGTGTTCAATGATGTCTTGACTGTTATTATCAGGCATAGTATTGATTTGAACATCAATGTCCTCTGAAGAGACAAATCGTTTCCGACTTGGAATCGTTGTGCTACTGTCACTCTCATCTTCATTTTCACTGTCGTCAGTGCTTTCTTCACTGGACCTCTCACTATTTTCTTCAGAATATTCAGTGTCATCACTATCGTCTTCAATGGAGTCAGTGATATCGTCACTATCATCACCATTCCCCCTTTTTTCATTATTTGGGTCTAGACCATATGGGCATGGCCCATTGTAATCCGGATACATAGCCTTAACGTGTGTGTCGAGTTGGTTTCGTAGGAACCGAGTTCCAATCGAAGCCAAATGGAAAGTACCAAACTTTTTCTCGGCGTTTGTTATGTATGACTTCACTTCCTGACATGAGATGCAAAAAAGAAGAAAACATTTTATTTTTGTCTTTTTCAACCCCGTTTACTTCTTTCTTACCTTTAATTCGCGTTCCAAGTTGTGTTTACCATATGCAGGAGAATCATCCGAGTACAGGAAGCAATTGTTCGCCAAAATGTTGACGAAATCCGAACTGTGGCCACCAAAGCGAACGACTTTGATTTGTTCATCATTTACAATCGATATTAGTCTGACCGGCAAATATTTTCGGCTACTGAAATGCTTTGTCCATAGCACGATATTCGGCTTGCTACACGCCATGAAACGCCATTCTTCCGGGTATTTGTGTTTGTTTTCATAACATTCGGCACAACCTTCAATATTCTCGATTTGTTCATTACAAAATATCCCCAAACTTTTGGCACTTTCATCTGAAAAATTGAAATAAATTCGCTTCAGATTTGAACCGTCAAAAAGTACTGAAGGCATGAATAAATCTTACATAGATCTGATCCGATCTGACAAAGTAGGCTGATATTGTGCAAAATGCAATCGGCATCCACAACGAATGCTTCTAAACTATCATAGAGGCGTTCATCGGCCTTCTTTTTCATTTGTTTCAAATCGATTGGGTTGACGATTTTTGCACAATTAAATCCCGGTTTCTCTAACTTTTGTTGCAACTTTTGGAACTATAGAAATTGTAGAGTAAGTTAAACTATTTAATTTGTACGACAAAGAGCCTTAAGTTACCTTGGCATTCTGTAAAATGTTGACCATTGTGTATTTGAGCAAATCTAGAACCGAATGTCTGAAAAAAGTAGGAAAAAAAAAATTATTTTCGTGATCTAAAAAAAAACCATGTTCACTCACTTTTCGACAAAATCATTTTTTGACGATTCCAATTCAATACATATCGGACATTCCCAATACGAAGCTTGGCCAATACGAAGCTTTTCATCATTGGCGCAGTCTTTGTGAAATGAACGGAAGCATTTCCGGCAATTGGAAGAGGTACGACCTTTGTCACATGCCCAACAATACTTGTCGTGAGTAAGTTCCTTAAAAATCATACAAATCATTTGATATATTATAAATTGGTTATAATCCAGGATGGAGTCTACAATGTGTGACCTTTCTACAAGTATAAGATATTTCACACAAACAACTAACCAAAAGAGGGACAGAGACATAGAAAATTGAAAGTATATTTGATTACTCTAGAATAAAAACAGCATATTAAATGGTTTTAAATATAGATTTGTTGTTGCAATTCATACAAACTACAATAACAAATCTATGTGAAAAAACGTCTTGTTTCACTTTGATATGCAACCATTTAATATGCTGTTTTTTTGTAGAGCAATCATTTGATAATTTGTGCTTTTCTCCGTCTCTGTCCTACTTGTAATTGCTTCATGCTGTCGAGACGCAAGGAAAATTTTTTATTTCACGGAATTTTGTCGATGCTATACTTTTCAAATAGATTCACACTGCATAAACATTTTTTTAGATTCGATTCAATTTTGATTATATTCTTGTCACGGGTCTCGAATGACTGTAGAGTGTAGGAACTTTTTATCCATCTTTGTACTTACTGCTTTACGCTGTGTTTGGCTAGTGTTTGAAACACCACACTGATTATTTGTTTCCATCTTTCATTCATGTAATCGGTGAGTTTTGTCGTGCAATTTTTTATCGCAAATCAATATTATTTTTATTTAACGAAAATTACATTTATTTTGTGGCACACTAAAATTACGTAGCATTAAAACTTATTGCGCACTATATCGTTCTCACGCTTGCTTCAATTTCAAGAACTGTCAATAAACAACTGCCGATGAATGAGTTCAATGTAAACGTCGTTTTAAGCCGTTGTCGTTGTCCACGATTTAAATGTCAAAAATTCTAGTATTATAATACTAAATTAAATACTATTTATATAAATCAAATTAAATCGTATTTATTTTGTGTAATTACTCAATCAATTTATTCGTTACAAATCTTAGACTCGGCATCCTTTCCAATTTGACCAAAAGATATTTTCTAATTTTTTAAAAATCATATGGAAATCAAATCCATGTGATTGATTTCAATAAATTCAAGACCAAAAATAAAGAGTCTTACAGGAATAAGACTAACTTTTCCGCACGGTGGTAGATGCGTATTTTATTAAGAAAGTTCAACATAATATTTGTTCGATTTTCCAAGCCTTTCAAGCGGCGTAAAGTTCGAGACCAAAAAATATGCTCGGCATCGAAATATTCTTAAATTTAATAGCAGAAGTACTCGAGAAAAGATTTTTCACACTTTCATGATGAACGAAAGACATTTGACATTTGAAAGTATTCTATTTTCTAACAAAACATTTTGACGTAAATTTTGCCATAAAAATTATTTGTGAAACACTTTTCATGAAAAAGTCACAAAAAAATTGGCTCACAAATGGAAAATTTGTATGGGAGGTACCCTAAATTTGATTGAAATTCGTTCAAACTTTCAGAAGGTTGTTTTTTTGTGTAAAAATAGTCTGTGCAAAGTTGTACGTCATTAAGGTAGCATACAGACATGGCTCCCATACAAAAATTCAATTTTTGCGATTTTTTCAAAGAAACTGTAACAAAAATTGATTATATTGACTAAAAATTAACATCGGATTCGGTTTTTTCGTGCCAAAAAACCCCCCAATACATATTTTTGGGTGTTTAAAGTAAAGCATGACTTTTGGACGAAAATTGGACTCTTTTCCATAGGTATCATGAAAGCTCCAGGCATGAAATTTTTTGTGAGATAATCGATGGACACGTTTTGGACAACGTACGATGTGGAAGCGACCCACAACAACCGTGCTCAAACGTCCAGAAAACATGTTTTTGAGGTGTCGTAAATTTTGACCCATTGCAATACTTTCCCCTTACACACTAGGTGTGTGCGGAAACATAATAAGAACGGTTGAACATGAAATAAAAATACTTTATTTGCGATTCGATTTGTAAAACTATGGTCATCACAGTTGAAATGTCAACATAATTTTTTTTGGAAAGGAAACAAATTTTAGGTGGAATCAAGGGTTTGGGTGGCTACTATTCTTCCATAGAATTGGTGTGTGATCCTTTTTGAAATGTTGATGTCACATTTTCGAATCTGTACCTGTAATGAATACATCAAATTTGGACATTGTTTTAATTCTGATCGTCTTAATATTCTTACTATAATATACCGTCTCACCTTTAATTATCGTCTTAGACTTGCGATAAAGTCCTGAAAACGGCTTTCAATGGTATCGATGCTTTGTTGAATGGCACGATCTTTTTCCATCTCCATGCTCTGTTTCATTTCTTCGCAAAACTTGGCAAATTTACCATCATGCTCCCTTTCCAATTCGTCTATTGCTTTTCGATGATCAGTTTCAAGACTTGCTCGCATTATTTCCATTGATTTTATATGCGATTCTCTTAATTCGGCCATTCCATTGTTCGCTTTGGCAAGTGCTTGTTTTGCATTCAAATTTTGTGAATTTAAGACTTGAGTATGTGCCAACAATTCAGCGATCTTCATTTGGTGGTCATTCAGTACCTTCCCATGTGATTCGTTCAATGATGCAACTTCGCTATCATAATTCACTTTTAATTTACGTTCAAATTCATTCATGATTTTTTGATGTCCAATTTCTAGATTTTTTCTCATTTGTTCGGCCGATTTTTTATGATTTTCTCTCATAACGGCCATTGCATTTTTCAGATCAACATTTTCGGAAGTGATGACTTGAATTTGTGCCAGCAAGTCATTGATCTTTGTTTGTTGTGTTTCATTCGACTGTTCCATATTTTCATATTTCCGCTTCAAGGCGTGCGTTTCATTTGTTTGAACATCAAACGTTGACTTGCAGTAAGAGAGCTTTGATTCAGTTGCAGTGAGAGCTTGTTTAATCTTTTCAATTTCATTGGCATAAATATTCTTCGTGTTCGTCATCGTTTGCTGGACTGTTTCATTTGCAATGTTTTTTATTCGATTTAACGAAATATCTCTTTCGGATGTAATGACTTGGATTTTCTCGTTTAAATACTTGATCGTTTTTTCGTATTCAGCAATTTTCTCTTGACAATTTTTCAGATCATTTTCAGTCTTTCCGAAATTTATGGTACCGGTCTGCACAATTTGTGGAACATTGTCTATTATGGAGTGGGCCCATTCCTGAACGGCGGTGACTACGCTGGAACCAGGTGGTGGGATGGATTCGGCCAAACCCGAATCATTGGTCTGTTCGCATTGGTTGTCATGGTCAATGATTTCAACCGCATCAGCAATTTCAACGTCACTTTCCGATAAAATACGTAGTCGCTTCTTTGGAATTTCCGTACCGATATTGAGGTCGCTGTCAGAGTTGTCAATGTCGTCTCTATTGCTATCCTTAAGCGCCGTATTACTTTCGATATCAGCGTGGGTACCGATGTTTTTCGAAGAAAGGCGTCGTTTTCTAATTGGAACCGTTGTGTTACTGCCATTTTCGTTGGTATGATCAATTCCAATGGAGAAGTCGCTGGAGATGTCACTGAAACTACTGAAATATCCACTGTTTTTCCTAGGACTTTCGTTATAGTCATTAGTCGTTACCCTTTGCCGCCCGTCTTCATTATTCCTGGGTTTTAGATCATACGGAAATATGCCATTGTAATCTGGATAAATTTCCTTCACATGCGTAGCCAGTTGCTTTACTTTTAATCGAGCTCCTTTCGCCGCCAAACGAAAAGTTCCAAACTGTTTTTCGGCGTTTGTTATATATAACATCACTTCCTGACAGAAGACATAAAAATCTTTATATTTTCTCCTATTCCTCGTCAGTCAATTTTTTAATAATACCTTGAGTTCGCTTTTCATAGTGAGATATGCCGGAGCCTCGTTCGAGTACAGGTAGCAATTTTTGGACGAAATATTAATGAAATCCGAACTTTCGCCATCAAAGCGAACGACTTTGATTTGTTCATCATTTACAATGGATATTAGTTTGACCGGCAAATATTTTCGGCTACTGAAGTGCTTTGTCCAGAGACAGATATGCAGTTTTTTGCATGCCATTATGGACCATGTGCTCGGATATTTGTGTTTGTTTTCATAACATTCGGCACAGCCTTTGATGTTCTCGATCTGTGCCTCACAAAATTTAACCAAATTGTTGACGGTTTCACCTGAAAAATTGAAATACAAATTAAAATCTACTTGCTCCGAGTTGTAATAAAATGAGGAAAATCATACGTAGAGATGATGACGATGGTAACCAGCGACGTATGCCGATATTGTGCAAAATACATTCGGCATCAACGGCGAATGCTTCCAAACTATCGTAGAGGTGATCATCAACCTTCTTTTTCATTTTTATCAAATCCACTGGGTTGATAACATCAGCACTGTTATTGACGAAATTCTCCAATTTTTGTTGCAGCTCTTGGAACTATATCGAAATTAGAGAATATATTTGGATATTTCGTTTGTGCAACAAAGAAACTGAACTCACTTTGGCATTCTGTAAAATATCGGCCACGGTGTATTTGAGCAATTCTAGAGCCGATTGCCTATTGAAGTGGGACAGAAAAATTTATCGAATTTCTTAAAATTTCATTAATTTTCACTCACTTCCCGACAAAATCATTTTTTGACGATTCCAATTCAATACATATCGGACATCGCCATTCGGCTTGGCAAACTTTTTCATCGTCTTCCAGACACGCGCCGTGAAATGAACGGAAGCATTTCGAACAATTGTATCGGATGCGCCATATCCAGCAGTGATATTCTGTACGGTTTGTGTCGCATTCCCAACAATACTTGTCGCGGGCAATTTCCTTGAATTAGATATAAAATTATAAATGGAGCATCATCACCATTATACACAAAAAAACGCGTGTTAGCAACTCAATTGTCATGTCATGTTCAATCATAAACGAGAACTGGAACGAGAGAGACGAAAATCGAAGTATCCCGCGAGATACGCGTAAACACTATTTTCTTCTAGTGCGCAATACGGTTTTCGCCGAACTCTGGCATTACTATTCTCAAATAGATTTTATTTATTTCTTTCTTTCACAACACTCTTAAATTCCACTTCAAATTAGATTCAATTTGATTTTGGTACTTGTCACAGGCTGTAGGCACATTTTTTACTTACTGCTCCACGCTGTGTTTGACTCGTATTTGTGGTTTCACCATACATTTGATTATCCATTTTTTTAGTGTTTCGTGACCTTTTGTCGATAATTTCTATCGCAAATAACTTTTGAATATAATTAAATAATGAATATTTAAGTTGATTTATATCAGAACTAAGCTCTCGGCACCACTGTTCGCAGACTTGTTCTGTTCACAACTGTCATTATATGTCACGACGATTAGTATATTGGATACGTTTAATGAAAGCAATTTATTTCAATAGTATGATACGCAATTGCGAATGAACCAGAGTCGTGCAACCAAATTTTTTTTTATAGATTTTGTTGTTGATAATTAAACAATGCTAAATAAGCAAGAGAGTTTTATAAATCCATCGATTTAATTTATGTAAACTTAAAATTCTGTAGTTCTGAAAAAAACAACCTCTGCAAATTTTCACATGATTACGATTCCATACAAGCATTGAAAAGTCTATCAGAAATTATATGTATCGCAAAACTTATATCAGATTCAGTTTTCTCATGAATTCATATTTACGGTAAGAGATACTTGACGGCCTAAGAAGAAAACAATAACATACAGAATATTCTGCAAAAAGACGAATACAAATTTATGTGAGCAAAAACCAAATATACAAACAGACAGCGCAAAGGTAAAACAGCCTACTTACATAAGAAACACATGTAAGTAGGCTGTTTTACTTTTGCGCTGTCTGTTTGTATATTTGGTTTTTGCTCACATAAATTTGT